GTATTTAGTCGTACCTTCTCTGTAGCTAGCTTAGTAGTTTTCTAATACCCTTTGTACAAGACCTATAGGTGTTAATGGAATTCCTAGGTCATTAAGTCCCCACGCACTCCTATATGCCTCTGAGTGGATTCCTACCGCATTTAGACCCATTGTCTTGCCTGTGCCGTTACAAGAATAGGCAGAGACCTTGCTTTTTTTTAGTCTTTTTAATAAAACCTGCTTAGTGTAGGTTGTTGCGCAGTGCTTACAGTGTACTTGCTTTCTACTTGTTATGCGTACATTCTTTATGCCTTTAATAAGAGCCTATAGAGCGTTTAAGCTTAAGTGTTCTACACGCGTGTACTAAAGCTCTTCTAAGTTAGAGTGTAGGAATATAGTTTATAAGCATTAGTGTTCTAAAAGTATACTTTACACTATTAGGTAGGAAAAATAGCTTTATATTTAATAAACATAAAGTTATCTTTTTAGTAAAGTGTTATAATTACTCTATTCTTTTTTAGTGTGCTGATATATAGTGTATAGTTAAGTTTTAAATACTATAGTTCTTTTTCTCTTAAATAAACTCTTAAGATAATATTAATATAAAATCTTTCTACTATAACTACTTCTTAGAGCATAATATCTTTTATACGCTCTCTCTATACTTTATTTAACACTCTTATAAGCTTTCTAGTTTCTGTTCTCTAAATTAGAAATAACTAGGTGCCTACTTTTACTATACATAAACCTTAAGCTTTTCTAAATAACCTAGGTATAAGCAGCTTTATACTATTTTCTAAGTGCATAACACCTTTATTATCTAGACTTATGCTTATAAAATGTAGGTAAGTGTTAAAGTTTATAGTTAAATGTATTCTTAGTTTTACTAAAAGTACTAAGTTAATAAGTGTTCTAATAATACTTTCTAAGAAAGCTAGTTTATCTAATTCTTTAATAGTTTTTAGAATAGAGAAGGCTTTATTTAGAATTACCTAGCTTTTTTTAAGTAGTGTATCTTTTACTTTTTTATACTGCGCTTACTTAGGCTTTTTAAAGATCTTTTAGTGTGTAGTTTTATTAAGTGTTTTTAAGTTTCTAGTAACTACTAACTTAAAGTCTTTATAGTTTACTACTTTTTATAGATAAAATAATTACTCTATTATAGATTAGAATAGAGTGTGGATTTAGTAGAGTCTTAGTAGAGTAGCTAACACACCTGTGTGGCTAGCACACCTGTGAGGTACGTTGTTAGAAATTACTTATTTATTACTCTTACTAACTTCTCTCTTAGCAATGAGTACTTCCCTCTGTACGCCTGCCTTATGAATTTCACTCTCGCCCTCTGATTTAACCCTTCGCGCCTGACATATCCTCACGGCAAGCATCTTAGTCCTAAGAACGTTACCGCCCTATAACAATTTAGGTGGTCTGCTTGCTTATAAAACATGTTAACTATATGTTATACTTATATTAGATTTAAAGAAAAGCTAGCATTTTTAGAAACTAAATGTATAAGCTGTTACAGTTACAGTACAGTTATCTAACCCCTGAGTAGCCTGAGGGCTTAGCATTAGGTATATGTAAGGCCGAGATGGTCCTTACGCGCGACAGTATATATAATAATCTGTACGCAAAATCAGCTGTTGGTTGATTATTCGCACCTTTTGGTGCGATGGCGGAGTGGTACAGAGCCCGTACCTACAGTATATAGTCTCCTCGGCCTCCGTACCTCTGCTTCCGACCCTATGGTTTACTCTCTTTCTACCCTTATTCTACATTCCCTCTCTGTGTCTTGTGCTTCCTGCTTCATACCTCTCACATAAGTAAGCCCCGCGAATAATAAGGACAGTGTTAAGATTCGCGAATTGAATACACTATCCTATCTAAGAATGTTCTTATGGATCTCTCCAACACAACTCCTGCTTCCATTAGCAGTTTGAAATTTCCTCGTCATCCACTCTAATAATTCAGAAATCAGTGGCTAGGGCAGGCCTCCTCCCAGCTCTAACTATGCAACCATTCACATGCAAGCCTTTACTTGCAGCTAGGGGGTTGCTATTTCCTAATGTCGACGATAGTGTCTTTAGGGATAAGCAAACGCCAGAAAAGCTGCCATGGAAATAACCTGCTGAACAGAGACTAGCAAGATTGCATAGAGTGGACCACGATCTTTCTGTGTCAACCTCGGAACACCGAGAGGCATGCCGTGAGTTCTAAGAATTGCTAATATCATTCTAGATTGAAGACGGATGCGCAGATAGTGGCTGCTACTATGCCCTTTTCCTGCTTTCTTGGTTACGAAATGGCATGGCGCTTTGACATCACCTTCCCGACCGCCAGCCACTCCTCACAAGCAACTCTACCCTCTCCAACAGCCTCGTCATCGCCTCTGTCTGATCCACGCCCGGCGTCCCGTTCAGCAAAACAGTAAACTGCGACAATTCTACCTCAGAGAGCAACCTGTCATCATAGTACTGATCCTCATACCCGATGACTGGATGTGAGGGTGAGAGGCGCGACTGGCTGGCCGATTCGTATAGGACGAGAGCGATGTAGCAAGGATGGCCTGCGGCACCGGGAGACTGTTGACAGCGCACAGTAAGGGTGGGATAGGAAGGGTAGAGCGTTGTGAGGAATGCTACGTAAATAGGGAAGGTGAGCACGTGGGCATTTGGGATCTTACCCGATCTCTTTTCGGCCCGGTATACTCACCTCGGATATCAATATATATTGCCCTCCTCTGTCTCGCCGCTAGTCTCGCTTGCTCTCTCGCCGTTGAATCATCGACTGACTGTCTTTGGCCGAATGACGGCCGCCTCCAAGTCGGCATTGGTGAAAATATCTTTGGGGATTTGAGAACCTGGGGGATCTGTGGGAATAAAGCTCACCTAGACAACTAAGACGCGGATATTGCAGCTTGCAGACTGTGCAAGGGAAAATGTCGCACTTGTGCATATTTCACTCGCAGGGGTGTCGATTGGTGAGTCCCAGAAGAAGGTAGGGATAGGGACAGTTGAGCTGTTGAAATGGGGTGAGGCCTACATGAGAAAATTCACGCAGTTGCGTACGAGGCGCAGTAAGTGAGGGTGGTGAGGTTCGGCAAATATATTCATTGCACAAGGACGGAGGAACTTGGTTTCACGGTCCACACAATTGGGCTGGTACCATACTCCTCAGACTCGTATCCTTACCCTTCTGCCCCCTCTCAGCCACAACATTCACTACATCATCGATGAAAGTTTGGCCGCAAGCACTAGCATGAGCTCGGAGCGAGTGAGGGTTGGAGTATCGGGCGATGACGACAATTATGTTCTGCAATACACAGCTCTTCAGCATTCGACTGTGAACGAATTTTGTAAGAGATGTGAAGTAAGTTTAAAGAGATGTTCAAAGATATGCAGCGGGTATGCTACTACGGCTACAAAAGCTTAGTCTCGCACGGTCCCAGCGTGCCAGCCCTGAAGCCTTCCTCTGGCTGGGGTGGATGTTAATTGTTCTTATTGGTGGGGATTGGGATGCCTTGGGGGCCAAAATCCTGCTGCGCATCCTCGAGTTCGTCCCACTCGATCTCCCACAGGTTACAGCTGACATTGGACATCTGGGCGCCATTTCAGATAGTCATACCTCTCGGCGATGCTGACGATGCTTCTTCCGAAGTTTCTTGTGTCGATGTGTTGGGACTCACTCCAACTAGATATTTCCACGATCTTTCAGCCCCGAGCTGGGACAAAGCCACAATTGGACCGGCCTGATCTGCATCGGAAAGGAGTGCGCTAGTAGACAAGGCTCAGCCCAGCTGAAGCATAAATGGTCGAGGGTACCCTCAAACGGGCGAATCGACAAAACCCGGCGGCTCTGGTCCTTGTCTTCATTTCGCTTGAAGTCTTTGCATTTTCCACTTTCCTCTATTCAGCGTGTATCTGCAACATTATCAATACCATCAACGTTATCGTCTCAGCTTTTCCTTCTCAATTAATTAATAACGGTTGTTGCTAACGATGTCCGACGAGAAGACAGAGCCATGGACAGAGGAGGAGTTCGACGACTTCAACGTGGTGAACCGATGGACTTTCGCTGAAACTACCGAGTTCCATCCATACATCTTGGATGCCTCTGGGGCGAGGAAGCTTGAAACCCAAGGCCTGAAGGAATTCCTCGCTCTGGAAAACGAGCTCTTGCCTACATTTAAAATCTTCCACTCACAGGGAACTACTGGCCAAGTAACACCGGTCCGAATCACCCAAGAAGAATTCTCCTATTGGCACAAGACTGTAGGAGTGCCGAAAACTTTGTTAAAGACCAGGTTTAATAGCGATGATATGGGCTCCCTGGAGTATATGATAGAGCGAGATGAAGATGGCATTTGCGCCGTTAGTTTTGGTTGCGATTGGGCTCCTTATGGCGATGTGTATTGCTGGTTCATCTGTCGAATCAACTACCGCACCAACACACATAACCTGTTCGTCTCAGCCAAGAAGACTTTGGACGAGGCTGGCATACTGGCCATGCTCCAGGACAATAAAGGGCCCCTTCTTACCGAACCTCTCCACCTAATTGGCTACCTATTTACGGCGTGCGGAAGCTGGTGTCGCCGCCGTATCCAGCGCAATGTCCGTGATCTCCTGGAGATCGAGGCAGAGATTGGTGTGACAATCGACACGGATTACTTCCGGTCTAGGGGCTATAAACTCGAAAACGATGACTTCGATGACATCAATTCGCGGCTTTTCGGCGAACAGAAGTCTCTAGCAATCCATCGCGTCTATATCGACCACCTCCGAGACTTCAGCTCCACGTTGCAGGAGATTATGCAAACGGTCCGGGCTTACCGAAACGGGCCCATTAGCACAGACGACGGGCCATGGTTGGGCCGCGAGGATCGAGGAGCCTACGAGCTGGAATATCTAGACAAGCGGATGAAGAGCGTTATCAACAATTTAGAATACTGCTACACCATCTCCACAACGCTTTTCCAAGTCTTGTACAACCGCATGCTTCAGCGCGACGCGCAGCTCAACTACCGCGTCGCTCGCGCCGCAAAGCAAGACTCTTCAGCAATGAGAACTATAAGCATCTTAACACTGACCTTTCTGCCAATGACAGCCGTAGCAGCTGTCTTCAGCGGCACTGTGTTCAATTTCGAAAACTGGGGTGTCCCAGGTCAGAGAGTAGCCAGTGAGGGGTGGTGGGTATTCCTTGTAACTTGCATTCTCGCAACGGTCGTTACTGTTGGGGCTTGGTATGCATGGCTGTACAAGTCAGAGAAGAAACTGGATTGGGAGGAGGTGAAGGCGCGGAAGAAGGCGGAAGAGGACGAGGAAAAGAAAGAAAAGGATGAAGATAAAGACGGTGAGGAGGAGAAGGAAGAGGAGGGGGAGGAAGAGCAGAAAGATAACGATGAGGAAACAGGGTCGATCAAAAGTCCCACAATAAGGCGGTTGACGGGGCTTTCGCTGTCAGCAAAATCAAGAAGATCGACTAGGCAGACGATGGGAGAAGTGTAAGGAGTGGCTATTCCTTTATTTTGCAGTGCAATGAGTGCGGGGCAACGAGAATCAGGTATATTGGTCTAAGATATGTTCATACGGCTCATACTCCTTTTATACGACGTGAGGGTTTCCACTTCGCTTCTAGACCTTTTCCTATGGATTCTTTTGTTGTGCTAGTTGTTTCCACCCCAAAGTTGAATAGTAAGATGGATTTCTAGCTTTAATTAAATTAGTATTCTTTCTGATAAGCACATCATCCCCAGAATATAACGACTCGGCTTATCCAATCATCCCTTCTAGCTAGTACCATGGTCGACCCCTTCCAACAAGTGCAGTGGACACTATTTGACCTCACTATATCCGATGTCCAATAGGCAATGTAAATCTCGGCTCTCTGTTGCATTCAGAGCGTCTTCGCCGGTTGGAGATAACGAATCGCAAGGAAGATCTTCCCAAGCCCCGCACAATGCACCAACGCGTGAGGGCCTATCTCATCAACGCTCAAGCCATCAACGACTACCTCTCAGACCGGATCCAAACCGCCTATAACAGGAGAAAAACGAAGACACTGGGCTTCCGCATACATGGATATCACGAACAAATCAATGTCTTCCACGGCCTCCTCATAGCTTAAGCCCGTGCTTCCATATCCCTCCCCAAAACATCACTTCTTCCGTATCTGTGGCTATAGTTACAAGAGAGCAGGAGTTCTATACAGAATCTAACTTCGTGCTATGAATGGGCGTTCAAATTCATGTCTAAGCTTCGCAATTCCTGGAGATTCCGGTAGGATTAGTCGGTCTGAACTATTATTAGTAATGCAAAGGGAAAAGGTACATTGACCGTCACGTCAATGAGGAATAACTTCGTGAACATGCATACGGACGGAGTGGAGGAATAGGGTCGGAAAGGCTGCTGGCTTGTGATGTGCGAGTGTGACCAGTATGTCTAAACCGCTGAACTTGCCTAGTATTCAGTCTCAAGCCTCCCTCTCGCCATCCATAATCTACTGCTCTCCCCCTCACAGCTAGTATTGCAATAATCCCAACCATATAAATCCTCCCCAAACAACCGCCACCCACCCAACAGCACCTCTTAGCCACACCGGCCGGGCCCCAACCCCAGCCCCATTTGACACCAGATTTCCAGTACAATTCCCTGCACCCCCCACCATACTTCCAACCCCCATCTCCAAAACCAAAGAATCCATACCCCCCTGGACAACGTCGACAGGCGCCACCAACGCCATCTGACTCCACGAAAACAGTGTATTCCGCCCACCAAAAATAAAAACCTCAAAACGACCAGCAAACACACCGTCCACCCAGACCCGACTTCCGTTCACTATATCTGTTTCGATCCGGATGTCGGCGGGGACATCGATGGGGACGGGGTTGTGGGTTGAGGTGGTAATGTTTGTGAATATGCGGCCTGCATGGTCGGGGTCAGTGGGAGAGAGGGACGAGAGGGAGACGGAGCGGAGTGGGTATGGAAAGTTGTCGGCGGTTGTGAAGACGATGGTTTGAACAGTTATGGTGGAGTTAGAGGCGTTTGTGGGAATGGTGGTAAGAGAGAGCGAGCTATCAGGTCCGGACAAGAGGAAGGGTGCCGAGATGCGCATCGTCAGGGTATATGGAGGGCCGTAGGACCCTTTGCCTAGCGTCACCGTGACATTCGCAGGATCCGACGGCTGACGGGACCAAGAAAGAAGAGGGGCACCAGAAGAAGGGGAGTGTAAAGATGAGATTCGACGCTCTAAATTCTGCCCGGGTGCTTTTGGAATCAGGAAGTCTAGTGTAGAGGACAGACTTGTGGTGGTGATATTCGGGCCACGAGACCCAGACCACGCTCGCGCGCCGACAACAGGGATCCCGTTTCGCATCGCGTAGTATGCCTCGAGTTGCGTGGTCGCATCTGGGCCGTTGTCATTCCAGGCCGCGAGGATCGCGCCTCTATTCCTACTTGCGCTGGGGGCAAGTTGCTCGGTAGCATTCACCGAGTTGAAAAGCGCAGGATCCCACTGCCATCCGGGAACATTCGCAAAGTTCATCGTTCGGGTGATGTTGTAGAACTGAGAATACGGGGCTGGGAGAATGGGTGTGTGGTCATTTTTCAGACTCATGTAAGCCCACCAATCTTCCGAGTTGATTATGTCGTACCCCTCACTTTGGAGGATTACAGGGTCGGATTGTCCGTATTGCCAGTGCTGGGCAATGACGTCTTTTGAGATGGTCAGATTCTCGGACGGCTCGTATGTGCCCCATATTCTGACTCTCTTCCCTGAAGTTGAATTTACAAAATCTGATATCTCGTTTACGAAACTGATATAATCGTCCGCTAGCGTGAAGTCGTACTCATCCGCTCCAATATGAACCTCCTTAGTTTGAAACCAGGGCAAAAATTCCGCCCATATCGCTTTTACCGTTGGGATCGCTTCCGGGTGCGTCAGATTCAGCAGATCTTTCTTCGCCAATGCAAGTTCAGGCTTCCATTTTGTGATAGCTAGACAATGCCCCGGAGCTTCGATCTCTGGGATGACAGTGACCCCTCTCTGCGCGCAATGCTTTTGGAATTCTTCAAAATCTGCTCTTAATAGCGTCTCATTCTTCCTTTGAATGATACCACGGAGACCAGGATGTTCTGGATAAAGCGAGAAGTGAGAGAATATTTTATTCCACGTCCCATTGTAGCCTCGACTTAAAGGATAGTTATCACTAGAGTGATAGTGGAACTCGGACATCTTAAAGAAGGAAGCGTAGGTGCAAAGCTCTTTCAGAAAAGATGGAGAGTACCATTTCCGGCCCGCGTCCAACATGTAGCCCCTTGTGGCATATGCCGGTGCATCTACGATTCGACCTGAGGGTAGATCTGTTCCATTCGCAATTAAGAGCTCTTGCAGAAGCGTTCTTGTCCCCCAAAACATGCCTCGAGAACCGGTTCCGCCGATGTAAACGCTCTGTCCGGTGACTTCAAGTTCATACCCTTCTTCAGTCGCAATGCCATTCTCGTATGTCAATTGACTCGCCCCATCCCTAAATGGCCCAAGGAAGATTCCAGTAGCCGGGAATTCCTCAACCTTTTCCAGCATCCAGTAGGATCCAAAAAGTTGTGAGAGGTCTTGGCGAAACGTCTCTGCAAACTCGTAGGCGGTCGGCGGTATTAGAGTTAAACCTTCGGTATCGGTATGACCCACAAAATCTTTCTTCAGATATATTATCTTGAGAGACTTAGCGATCGAAAACCCCGCCGACGAAGCATTGCTGCTGAGCCATTGAACCGGCGGCAGAGCCTGCAGTGCTGAAACGACACCAAAGAAGGCACACAACACCCACAACATTGTCGTAGCGAGGTTCTAGGAAGAGTAAAATAAGCCTTGGGGCTGTCGACATGGCAATGACCAAGATTTTGTAGGTAGTCAGACACACAGGTACGCGGCACGTGCATTAGGTCCAGGCGCAGGCGAAGAGGGGACATTCCACGTAGACCAGGGTGGCATTGGTTATTATCCGTCGCATTTCCCCGCATGCTTAGCTTCTACCAATGCAACCTGCCAAGATTGAGGTAGAAATGGTGAGAGAACTAGTGCTGTGTTTCTGGAGCTGGCAAGAAAAAGATGGCTGGGAGTTACATCGCGAGAAAAGCGAGGGACTTGAGCTACCATGTTTTAGCGCGTAATGCACGGCCTCGCGTAATGCACAATTTTAGCAATCTGCGCCTTTTACTTTTAAAGCTCTAGAGACTTACATAAATTATAAATTATATAAATTTTTTATTATAATACTAATTAAATGCTATAAATTCTATTCCTAGCAATAATTTACATGTAATACTTTATAAAAAGGTTAATTTACCTACTGCGTTAAGTTTTACTTAATGCTAGCTCCTTTTTTTTATTTAATGCTGCATTATTATTAAAATCCTCTAGTGTACTAGTAATAGGCGTAGGAGCTTTCTGCTTACTCTTTATTGCCTGCTAGAAGTTATTTTTAAGCTGTTAATTAACCTGCTAAGTAAGCTCTACCTTTTTTTATTAAGCTGCTTTTATCTTAAGCTTTTGTAAGTAAGCCTTATTTACTATTACTACTTTCTGCTTTTTTCTTTTAACTATGTGCGCTTTTTTAGCTTTTTTTTACTTTTTTACATTTTACATTTTTTTATTTTTAAAGCTGTAAAGCTTTTTTTTTGTATTTTTTTATGCTTAATAATTATATGCTTTTTAGACTTTATTTAGAGACTAAAAAGGTGCGCTACTATAATATTCTAAAGGTGCTTCTAGTAGAAGAGGCTTGCTATGCTAGCAGCGCTTCTTTTTATTAATTAGCGCATTCTTAACCTGCTTAAGCTTATGCTAGAGAAGGATACAATATACTAAGAATAACTAAATAGTCTTCTTAAGCTTTTATATATCTTTTTTATAAAGATTACTAATAACTTTATTTAAAAAGCTTTTAACTTTTTTTAATTTTTTATACTAAGCGCTAAGCTAGTGCTTTTACTAGAAGATAGTTGCTTTTTTTACCTCTAGTAAAATTAATCTAAAACTACTTATAGCTTAAATAGTAATAAACTAGTTAATATACTTTACAGGCAAGTTGCTTATACACCTAAGTTGCTTACTTTTACTAAAACCCTACTAAACTACTTTTCTTATACTAATGCATTTCTAACAACACTACTTAGACACGCTAAAAAAATATTAGATATAGCTTATACTTTAAGCTTTTAAATAAAACATAAAACTTTTAAAGAAACATACTATAGCTATGTATAAAGTTTTTTTAAAAAATAATAAATAACTATAGCACTAGACAACCTTTATAAGTTAATTCTATAGCTAACTTATAAAGGCTAGGTAATAATAAAAAGTAGGTAATTATTAAGACTATACTTAAGTTATATATATAAGGATTTTCTTTTTAAATAGCATTTATAGCTAATATAGCTAATTCTTTACACGCTAAGTATAATCTAGGCTATATTAGCATAAACTAGCTTAGTATGTTTAAAAAGTATTATCTAAAGCTTAAAGTAATATTTAAGTGTAGTATAACTATAAAAAAGCTTTTTATAAGAGTTTTAAAGTAATTTAAAGTAAGTTTAGCTTTATAAAGAATCTTAAAGCTAAGTATAGTATCTAAAATAATAATATATTTAACTTTAGTAAGATAAGCTTTATTATAAGCTAAATATTTATTAACTATACTTATGCTTAAAACTTTACTTTAAGCTTTAAATAACACTTTATAAATATACTAGGCTAGTTTATGCTAATATAGCCTAGATTACACTTAGCGTGTAAAGAATTAGCTATATTAGCTATAAATGCTATCTAAGAGGAAAATTCTTATATATATAGCTTAAGAATAGTCTTAATAATTACCTACTTTTTATTATTACTTAGCCTTTATAAGTTAGCTATAAAATTAGCTTATAAAAGTTATCTAGTGCTATAGTTATTTATTATTTTTTAAAAGACTTTATACATAGCTACAGCATGTTTCTTTAAAAGTTTTATGTTTTATTTAAAAGCTTAAAGTATAAGTTATATTTAATGTTCTTTTAGCATGTTTAAGCAGTGTTATTAGAAATACATTAGTGTAGAAAAAGTAGTTTAGTAAGGTCTTAGTAAAAGTAAGTAACTTAGGTGTGTAAGCAACTTGCCTGTAAAGTACGTTACTTTAAAAGCACTAAGAATAGTTTTATGCTTAAAGAACATTTTCTAGGCCTTATTAAACATACTATAGAGGTCCTTTTTTTAATTAATAATAGTCTCTAGCATCTATCTATAAAGCTAGCTAGCTTAGCTAAGTAAGCTAATAAAAAAGGTTTAAACATATAGACACTAAGAGGCTGCAGTGTATAAGTTGCATGTAGTAGGTATACAGCTAGAAGAATCTTATTATTATTATAGTACTTAATAAACTTTATTAAAACATGTAATCTATAGCTATCTAAAAATAAAAGTTAGTACACTTATTACACTTTTACTTTAGTCTTATAATTAAACATATGTTTAAGCTATAACGTACCTAACAGGTTGGCCGGCCACACGGGTTAGCCGGCCACTTTTGCCAAGCCCCTACTAAAACCACCCTATTCTAGCGCAAAACAGCCTACTTTAGCCCTGTATAAAGTAATATAACGTAAGATATTATTTAGAGTCTACTTCTACTACTTTCTTACACATACGCAAGTTATGTCTAGTCTAATTGCACTGCCTATATTACCTTTAACTTAGCTTACCTTCTTTAGCGCGCACCTGCGTCTTTAGCTTCTTTTTATTACTACGCGCTCTAAACTTCTTTAAAGCAGTTAGATAAGCTTTATTCTTAACTATTAAAGTTTTTTTTGCCTAAATCTGCTTTCTTTTATGCAATCTATGTTATGTAGCAGCTTTATTTGCTACTTAAAGCTTTATAATCTTCTTTTACACTAATACTAGCTTATGTGTAATAATTGCTGCCCTCTTTAAGACTTTCTTAAAAGCTTTTACTATAAATATTAGTAAGCTATTTATATGCTTTTAAATTCTTACCTTTATAAGCATTAATTATAACCTAAATTTAAAAGTATTACTTAAAGTTTATAACTACTAAGGCTTATTATTAATAAGTAGTAGTAGTAATAAAGTATATAACTAAATGTTAAGAGCTATTTTAACTTATTTTAAGTTAAATAAAACTAAACTAGCGCTTTAAACCCTATTTTAAATATTACTAAAAGTAATTACTACATTATAAGTGTATATAAAGCATAGTAAAAACTTAAGTTTTATAATATAAGTAATCTAGTTACACATAAGATTTTTAGCTTAGCGCTTATACACCTTCTTTAAAGAGGCAAAACAACCTACATTAAAAGGCTATAAAAAGTGTAATAAGTGTAGAAGCATATAAATAGTAATAATTTTATTCTTTTTATAGTACTACTAGAAATTAAGTAAGTTATAGCTTTTATAGCTATTAATAATAAAAAGCTAATAAGTGCTTATAACTTTTTTTTATATACTTATTAAAGTGCTTTAACTACTATAGCCTAAACTTATTTATTATCTAGCTGTTTTTAAAGACTATAATAACCTAGTTCTAAGGCAGATTCTTTTTCTTATACTAAGCAAAGAGGTAATAGCAGCCTTTAAAGATAATAAAAAGTAAAATAGCTTACTTTATTATGTTAATGCTTTAAATAACTATTATTTACTTTTTATTACTTTACTATATTACTTTTAGCTGTCCTTGTGTTACGGTCTACGGTTGGACCAGCGTAACTCCACCGACAGAGCTCCACAATCTAGCTGGATTGGAACAGGGCTTGCTTATAAACTAATTAGAGGACACAGAGGCAACGCAACTGCCTGTAATTATAGAAGAATGCATTGTCTAATAGGAGGACGGGCTGCAAGTCTAGGGAGTTAAAGGGAGCTTATAGGAGCCCTCCTTAGCAGACTCCCCCTAGCTCCTGCTAGCTCCCCTTAGCGCCCTAGCATATATATATAGTTCCTATATTAAACAACCTTTAGAAAGTGTGTTTAACATTTAGTTTATTTACTATATAAACTAAGTAGCATTTAGCTTTCTAAAGAGCTATAATACTATTTATATATCTTATACTATATATACCTCTAACTTTGTCTATTAGGACTGTTTAACCCTAGCCTTTTTACTGCTGCACATAGGGCAAACTATAATCTAGTTATTCTAAGAAAACCCTCTATTAGCCTAATAGCCTGTACATAGAACTGTACACCCTACTAGATTAGCCTCTACTATCTGTTCTACTTCTTTTATAGGAATATTACTAGACCTAAGTGCTTTCTAAAGTAAGAATTATAACATTAAACACTACTTTTTTTAAAAAGTATAGCTACTTTACAACACAACTTAGATTTTAACATAGCCTACACTATACTATTAGGATCTATAAAAGTTCCTACCTAAAGTAAAGCTATCCTAGCAGAACAGATTAATTTAATCTAGGATAATATTAAGAAACTCTAGTAGATTAGTAATAAGGTTAGTAAGCTTTTAAAACTTAAGCAAAAAATTACTAACCTTTACTAAAAAGTAGTAGAATTATAAAAATTTTTTAAATTTTTAAGCCTTTAAAAAGCTACTAACTAAGCTTATTAAATACATAAACTATAAGTAGAGTTAGTAAAGATTTAGAACATTTTAATAAAAAAAGTAAGTATTATAGCTAAAAAGACTTTAAAACTAGCCTTTTTAAAGCTTTTTAAAGAATTATTAAAGAACCTTTAACTATTCTTTATAAAATGTTACCTCTACATGTAATACAACACAAGAGCATTTTAGACTAACATAGAAATAATATCCTAGATAGGACTA